GGTGCCAAAGGAGAGGCCAGCCAGACTTAGGAGGTAGCCTCCTACTTCTGGTTAATCCCACACATGACAGGGGACACTTCCTCCCCATGCCCTGCAGGACCCTGGCTAGCCAGCAGAGGGGGCAGGGGGGGGGGTGGGCAAGGATGCGCTGAGTTGGTACTGGTGAGGTGCCAAAGGAGAGGCCAGCCAGACTTAGGAGGTAGCCTCCTACTTCTGGTTAATCCCACACATGACAGGGGACACTTCCTCCCCATGCCCTGCAGGACCCTGGCTAGCCAGCAGAGGGGGCAGGGGTGGGGGTGGGCAAGGATGCGCTGAGTTGGTACTGGTGAAGAAAGGAGTCTATTGCCCAGGGCCGAGGACTGTGTGTGGGACAACCCTTAGAAACCAGAAGATGAGAAGACAGCACGTGTCATGGATTGACTTGTGTCTCCCTCTCCCCAGTTCTGAAGGTCAAGGTCTCAACCCCAGGTACCTCATAATGTGATCGTATTTGGAGATAGGATCTTTTAAGAGACAATTACATTAAAATGAGATCACTAGATTGGACCCACGGTGATTGGTGTCCTTCTAAGAAGAGGAGATGGGGGCCCGGGCAGGCACATACAGAGAGGAAAGACCATGTGAGCGAGACCGAGAAGAGGGCCATCTGCAAGCCAAGGAGAGAAGCCTCGGGAGAGCCCAAACCCGCCCCGACCTTGGTCTCAGCCTCCTGGCCTCCAAAATCGTGGGAAAATGCATTTCTGTGGTATGAGCCCCAAGGTCTGTGATTCTTTGTTATGGCCATCCTAGCACCCGGATACAACACAAGAGTTCAAAAAGGATTCTTTCAGTAAAAAGAGAGAATGAGGGGCACCTGGGTGGCTCAGTGGCTTAAAGCCTCTGCCTTCGGCTCAGGTCATGATCCCAGCGTCCTGGGATTGAGCCCTGCATGGGGCTCTCTGCTCAGCGGGGAGCCTGCTTCCTCCTCTCTCTCTGCCTGCCTCTCTGTCTACTTATGATCTCTGTCAAATAAATAAATAAAATCTTTAAAAGAGAGAGAGAGAGAGAAGTCATACACCCAGGTCTTACCCCAGAGTAAGTATTTGATAACTGTGTCCCAGGAAGGGAGCAGCCTGGGCACCTGCAGTCTGGAGCAGAAGCAGAGACAGGAATGGAAGTGTGGGAGTGAGGGCCCTCTCCGATGGGTGGCCCATGAGCCCCTTAGGGCAGGAGCTGCCAGCCCCTCAGGTTGTGTCCCCTGGGGAAGAAGTTGTGCCCAGTCAAGCTGCCCCTGCCTCGCTCAGGCTATACTCGGGGGCTGGTAGAATTACCAAGTCCATTTGGGATGCAGCAAAGTGCTTCTTGTTCAGCAGAGAGCCCTGCTCTCCAAGGACACACATCCAAGCAGAAAGAAGTGACCAGCTGAGTGAGCTCCCAGAGGCACAAACCTGTCTCCCACCAGAGCAGGAGAGCCAAAGACAGAAAACGCCACGGGCACAGGATGTATCTGAGATGCGACTGCGGCAGGAAAAGTGATCTCAGCACTCTGGCCCCCCCCCAGGAACGTGGAAGAACTTTCTCTGAGCCGGCCCTTGCCAATCAGCACCTTGGCCCACACTGGAGAGGGAGGCTCATGTCTGGCAGACTCCATGAATGCAAGACAGAGAACTTTCCAAGTCCCTTGTTGGTGACCTGCCATTAACAACTGTCTGGCAAATGTTCCTTCATAGGGGTGTCTTTCTGCTCTGTACCCCGAGGCCCAAGAGGATAGGACTAAAGGTGAATGAATGAAACATTATTAAGAAACCAGGGCATTGGCAAAACAAGGCCCAGGACGACTTTGCCTGCAGCGCCCAGACATCAGATACAACCCCTCTGTTTCATCTAGGCAGGGCTGGGGAGGTGGACATGGCTCCTGCTGGCAAGTTCCAGTCCCCTGGCCCTCCTGTCTCCTTCCTTTTGGGGGGGAACCTGCCCTCCCAGCCTTTTGGTCTTTGCAATGCCTCCTGGTAGGAGAGAGTAAGTCAAAGAGATGAAGGTCTTTTCAGAATCAATGAAGCAAATGTGGCCACGTCTCAGGTGGGAGGAGATGGAAAATCATTGGGCAAAATGGGCTTGGGGAGAACTAAGGTCCCTGCCCACCATTCAAGGACGGGGCTGACCTTTGGATGCCCATGACAGCTTATCTAAGGAACACTGGTCCCCAGGACTTATCAACCTCACAGAAGTGGCACCCAAGGGTGCCTCCTCCAGCCAGTGCCCACCTTGCCTCCCTAGACAGGGAGGGAAGGAACTCTCCCAGCAGGCGGAGGTCCCGGGGCTCACACGGCCCCTCCCCCACCACATCAGTTCTCTCACTGTAGTGAGCTCAGGTTCCCCTGGAGAGTAGAACAGCCTGAGTGCTGGGCCGCTGGCCCCAAGCTTCTGGTATGGGATGTCTGGGCGGGGGTCCGAGAATTTCCCTGTTCCCAGATGATGCAGAAAATGATGGTCTGGGGGTCAAACCTGAGAACCACTGCTCTACCAGGCCTCCTGGCCCCACTGTGCCCACCCGAACGAGACAGACACTCTCCCCTCCTTAGCACGGTTCCTGCCATCTGGTTGCCTCAGAGCCAACAGCACTGTCTGCCCTGTTCTTCTCCGGGGCTGCCCTCAGTGTCTGTTCAACAATGGGATTTCATGTTCTGGGTAAGAATGGCACTCTCGGGCCCCATAGCCCATAGGAATGGGTTAAATCCTAGACCCACCTGCTCTCCATCCTCCCCCACCTTCGGAGCCCTGCCATCTGCTGGCTGCATACAACCTGGTCTCCAGTTCTGCTTCCCCTGGCCTGCTCCTAAACAAGCTCCTGAGGAATGCCGCTCTTCCTGCCCCTGCTTCCCCTTCACACCGCACACACCGGCATCTCTGGGTTGGAGGACCCCGGGCCACAGGGCCTCCCCCGCTTCCCCGCCCACCACACTCACCGATGTAGTCAAAGCGACCGGGTGCCAGGCGCTCTGGCAGGTGTGCGGAGTAGAAGAAAGAGGCCAGGAGGGTCATGGCCATGTGCTTCTGGTGGTTCAAGATGGCTTCATTCTGCACACCCTCCCCAGACAGCAGGAACAGCTGCGGGCAGTTAAAGAAACATGAGGTCTTGCGCAGAGGCCCTCTCCCTTCTCATCACCTCAAGACATCTCTGCGCACATGTGTGGATGCCACAGGCCAAGGCCCTCATGCCTCAGGTCTGTGGCTTGGAAAGGGAACTCTCAGGGACTGTGAGAGCAGAATTCCCATCCTGACTGTGATCATCCGAGACCCAGGGCAACTGTATTTTAATCCTCCAAATGCTCATAAAGACTTTTGGGTTATTTAGGAACAAATGAAAAGGAAAGAAATGAAGGAAAAGAAAAACCCTAGTAGACCTATTGCTACTCTACTATCTGGGGGTAAAACGTAAGTACAGTAAAAAGTGGTCTATTCACCCTTGAACTCACCTCTTACCGGCGAGTCGCCTACTTTCATGTTCCTGATTAAGGCCCAGAAATCCCTGGAAGGCCTTCTGAGTCATCAAAATGTATTAATTATGGCCATGATGCTGTTTAAGAGTTAAGCATCGCTTTTGTATTATCTTTGTGAACATCGACAGCTGCCGCCACTAACCCGGGGCACTGGGCCAGTCCCTTTCTTGCGTGATTTCATCAGAGCCCCGCCTCAACAATTACCATGAGGCGGACTCTAGCTTCCCATTTTGCAGATGAGGAAGCCAGGCCAGAGGGTGATGTGCAAACCACGAATGAGCAATGACGTCAGGATCCGGATCCAGGCAGGATGATTCCAGAACCTGTGTCCTCATCATCACCATTCAGGATGAGACCTCCCCACCCCACTGCCCACCGTCTGCCACAGCCCGGCACCAGAGAGCACACAGTGTCCATAACGCGGACCTCTGTGGTGTGATTTTTTGGTGCGTGGGACCTGCCTGTTCTCTGCTCCAGTTTCCTGTACATGTTCTCTGTCCCTGGGGAAGGATCAGGGGAATCTCCCCTGGGGCCCACACAGGTGGAGCCTGCTCTGACCCTCCCTGTTCTGTCCCTGCTTCAAGCATCAAACCTCAGGCTGCCCCTGGGAAAGGAAACCCTCACTGGGTGCAGGCCATGTTCCAGGCACGGCTGAGCCCTTCAGATGTGTGGATTAAGTGAACCCTCCCCTAAGTGAAGCCTCATTTACAAATGAGGAAACGGAGACTCAAAGAGGTTGTGTGCATTGCCTAAGGTCACACAGCCAGTGAGGAGTGGGACTGGGATTTGAACTCGGGTCCATCTAATTTGAGAGTGTCTGGACTCTCCCCCTTCTTGTGTCCCTCCTACACCCTCTTCCTGTTCTCTTACCTATTCTCTGTCTAATCCCCACCTATCCTTAAGACCCCCCATTCACATTTTTTCCTTTGCTACTAGTATGTTAATTAATGATAATACATAATGCGTTTATTGGACACTTGTCACTGGCTAGCATTTTATATGTTCCCTCATGTAATCTTCCCCACAGGCTGATGGACCAAGGTGTTACTATCATGCCTATTTTATAGCTGAGAGAAACTGAGGCACAGAGACGGCACATAACTTGCCAAAGTCCTACAGTGAGTACATATTAGAGATCTGCCTCCAGAGCCTGCTCTCCTGGTCCCTCCACTAAAGCCCAGGTTGCCTCCCCTAGGCAGCCCTCCATGATTACTTCTGAGCCCATAGTCAGTGCTGGCCACTGATGCATCGTCTGTGGTCTGGCATATGTTCCTGCTGTCTCCTAACTACTATGTACCCTCTACTAAGGAAGGTCTCGACTCCCATGTGCAGTGACCAGCATGGCACTCTGATCCCCAGGAGCTTAGGAAACGGAAGGGTCCCTGGTGTTGCCAACAGGCAGGGAAAAGATGGAGCCTGGCCCTTACCCTGTAGAAGATGGGGAGGGAGTCCCAGGTGTAGGGATAAGCAAAAGCAAGGATGCGAAGCATCTTACAGAGCCCAGGCTTCTGGATTTCAAGAAACCTAGATCAAGAAAGGAAAAGGGGGAAGAAATGGGAATGAAAACATTTTCATTAAATGACACACACGCATGCGCATTATGAGTAACCGAGGGCAAGTCATCAACAGAAGGCAAGTATTTGGGGCAACCCTCCTCCTGAGGCCAGCAGCTTCTCCACTGGCCTCGTCTACTTCTCCTGCCACGATGGCTGCATGTGGGAAGGCCTCAGGGGAAACCATCTCCTGGGGCCGCATCATGAGAAGCAGTGGTGTCCCAAGAAGCCAGGAAGGAGGTACTGGGCTGGAAAGGAGCTTCAGGAGGCAGTTATCTAAATGCCAGAGCCTTTTCGAAGTCCAGTAATAACAAGACAGGGAGATTTGTGGGGCGTGGGTGGCCCCCAGGCATAGGTCCCTGGGGCGAGCACGTCTGGGAAAGATGAGATGTCTGACTAGTCAGCTGTCCAGGTGACTGCTGTGCAGAAGCCCTTGGTTCAGGGAAGTGTTTAATGACTTGGGAGAAGGTTCTGGAATCCTTAGTGCCACACCCAGGAACACTAGCCTGGGGAAACTGAGTAAATGTGGCCTTTCCCCCTCCACTTCATCAACCCCCCTCCAGTCCGAAGATGAACCAAACCTTAAAATGAGTGGTGCTGACTGTGGCAGAGAGGGCAGGGCCTCCCAGACGGAGGCTGATGGGGCCTCAGCGGGCTTGGGCCCAGCCAGGGTGGGGCTGGCAGCCCAGGGTGAGGGGAATGGGGCTGCGCAGATGGACAGGCTGGATACAAGGAGGGCAGGAGAGGAGCAGGGAGATCTCTGCACAAAACCACAGCCCTGCACTGGGGCTCAGGTAAGGCGTGCTCGGGCCCCAGGCCACGGGACAGGGCAGGTCCCTGCTTCAATACCACAGTGTATTGTGGAGAGCTGGGTCCTCCCTCTGTCCCCACAGGGGTCCCCACAAAGGTGGTATGCAAAGTCAGGGCGCCAAGGCTGGTGGGATGGCTGCTCTGGGACAGTGAGTCAGACAAGGGAGGCCCTCCCTGACAGTCCTGCCCCTCAGCACGCTCTCCAGCTGGGAAGGAATCCGTGTCCCACCACTGCTCCCCACCCCTGTTCCCCAGATGACCCGTGCCAGCCCACAGCCTGCCCTTTTCCCCACCAAACACAACCTATGGCTCCACCCAGCCCAGGCCATTGGCCCCTGGCTAGGTTACTCCTGTCCCCATAGCTGGTGCAGTCACCTGACTACAAAGCTCTCTGCTCCCCATGTCCTTTGGTTTGGAACAGTGCAGAGACTCCCACATCCACCCCCTGAGCCATCAGGGGACCCTCATGTCCCCCAGGCTGATGCGTTTAGCCCTCTGGGAAGCCAAGCCTGAGGATCCCTGCTCCAGAGTAAGAGGCAGCTGCTGTGGGCCCCGGGGAAGCCCCACAGCCTCCAGGGATAAGCTCCAACTTTCAGCGTATGTGTGCATGTCTCTCCTTTCCTGACCCCGTCCTAAGTCAGAGAAACACACAGCAGGCATGGGGTAGAGAAGGAAGAGAAGCTGAAGAAAAAGGAGGAAGAGAAATAAGGGACCTCAACTTATCATCCTCCCAAACGAGACCCGCCAGCCTTGGAGTAAACCACCAGCCCTGGGAGAGGTGAGGCCACACCAGGCCATGATTCACAGGCAGTGTCTGACCTGGACAGCCTGGGTTCGAGTCCTGCCTCAGCCCTCCGTGATCATGTGACCCCCAGCAGGTTAGGTAACCTCTGTGCACCCCAAAGTCCTCACTTGTAACACAGGGACCACAACTGTACCCCTTCATGGGCTTGTTGCAAGGATTTGATAATCCATACTTGCAAGGAGTTGCTCACGTCACAGGGGAACGCTTGATAAATGGCAGCTTTTAATAAAAGGTGTGTAGTGGGATTCATTCTCTCCCCATCCCCACCTTAGAGCTATAGCTGTGCCAGGGAACAGGAACAGGAGGGAAGAGACGGGTTCTGGGAGACTTGCCTAAAGTCAGATGAGCTGATAAGAGGCAAAGTTAGGATTTACACCCAGTGCGGTCTGGCTTCCAAGTTTCACACCCCCACCCCTCCGGCAGGCTGAGCCAGCCTTGGACTACTACCCAGCCTTCATCCTTGCCTATACCCGCTCTGCCCCAGGGAGAAAATGGGACATACTCCCACTGCCCTCCACAGCCAGAGCCTGTCTCAACAGCCTTCACAGCCTACCCTGGCCAACCCAGTCCAACCACAAGCCCGTTCCCCCTCCCCATGCATGGTCACCATCTATCTTTCCTGGGTTCTAAGAGTGCTCACTACGAAAGCACGCTCTTTCTGTGACCACTTACACAGGAAGAAAGCTGGCTCTGGCTGGCGAGGGCCATCCCCCAAACCATGGATTTCCTGTGACTTGAGACAACATTTCGCCCGGCCTGATAAACTGCTTCCCCAGGGGCAAACGAACCAGCCTCTCCATCTGCCAAGCCGAGTCTACAGGGGGAAAAAAGGAGAAAAAGCAGAACAGAAGAGAGACAGCAACAGAGAATAAATGGTAGAAGGGCCAGCAGCCACAGAGAGGGGCCTCCCACTACCAAGGTGCAATTCCACAGTTAGCCACAGGGTGTCGCCCCAGCCAGAGATTCCAGGAAGGAGGGGCAGGAGCTGCAGAATCCTCCAAAGAAAGCACTGGTTGCCCCCCCTCCCCTCCAGTCTCCAAAGCCCCACCTGGTAAGCCAGTCCCTGCACAGCCCAGTGGAGAGACCGGTTTACAGGCAGTCAGGCCTCATCTGCCTAGAACCAGGTTGGCAGGAAGCACTGGATTTTGGCAGAAGCCTCCACCAGGAGAGGGTCTGTTCTAGAAGCTGATAAATCTTGTTGCAACAAAGCCGGCTGGAGGTGCAAGCAAATTCTGGAACCAGGGCTTGACCAGCGGGCCTTTGGAAACATTCCATTGCAGAGAGATGTGTGTGTGCGCGCGCGCGCGCGCGCGCGCGCGCGCGTGTGTGTGTGTGTGTGTGTGTGTGTGTGTGTGTGGTGTGGTTATGGCTGTTTTATTGTGTGGGTGACATCGCAGAACACGGACATTATTTCCACGTGCTGGCCTCTGGGTCTAGTAGCACTTTGTCATCTGGCTGAGCCCTCAGAACCCCTGACCGCCTGTGAGCCTCCTGCCTCCAGCTCTGACCTCCGAACCCCCTCCCTGGTCTGCTGTGGGCCGCAGCTCCACCCACCGCCCCGGCATGGCTCTCACGGCGTAGCCCACTTTCCACCAAGGATGAAAAGTCACCTCTCTCCTTCACAGCACTGACCACAGGGCATTTCACTGAGCAACTATTTGTCAAAATAAAACAACCTCTGGACACGTTAGATGAGTGAATAAAGAGCCTACAGGGACTTGTGATGGACAGCAAACTCTGGGTGACTGACGTCCCTAAGGGAGTGAGAAGGCCTTGCTGGGCTTCTGGGTGTCCAGCAGGATGAGCAGGCCAGGTCTCTGTCACCCCATCTTGCTCTGAGAGCGACAGAGAGGTCATGTGTTCTCTCCATCTCCCTTCTCAAATGCTACAGAAGCAGCAGGTGGGTTTCTGGAACATTCATTTGCACTAGATTCAAGGGAGTCACAGTGCTCTATGCGGAGACTGACCTCAAGGACAGGTAGTATAATGGAATGAATGCTGTGATATTAGACCGTGATATTCTAGTAAGCACGTGAATAACTAAAAACCACCCAGGACGTCTGTGGTCTGCTTCTTGCTCAAGGAAGGAATGGCCATTCTCTGACCACTCCTGGACACACCATGAACTGATGGAGCCCAGGCGAGAAGGAGGGTGGGCTTGGGGGAGGAGGAGGGCGAGGAGAGAAATCTTGGAAAATACTCTGAAGCCCTAGCATGGTAGAACATCCCAAGACATCTTCTCAGATGTCCTTGTTTAAGGTGAAGCCAGAAGTCCATGAAATCCAGGACCCCAGGGGGCCCTGGCCTTTCTCTCCACCTGCTTCTCCTCAAGTGAATGGGGGCCAAGTCTCTCTTGGTCCAGGAGCCAGCTTTCTCACTCCTCAGACACTGAAGACAAAAAAGGGAATGAAAACAGGAAAGGGAAGAGGACCAGGCGAGAAGGGACACCAAAGGATCCTCTGATGGGACATCCCACTCTGCCTCTGGACCTCTTCCTAGGCTTCTATTCCAGCACAGGCCCCCACGCCCGCAGCCACAGACACACCTGGAAGCCCCTCATGGCATGGCCCTCCTGTGGAGATCACTGGCCTTCGCCAGCACAGGACCAGGCCACAGCAGGGCACAAGAGGCACGTCAAATCCCAGCCACTGTCAGAGACCCTCTCTAGCCACTCTCCTCCTTCCAGCTGTGTGGCTCCAGCAACTGTGAAGCCCCCTGCTGCCACCCAGGGCCGTCTTCTCCCGCTCCCTCCCCTGTGCAGGCTGTGTGCTCTGTCCCAAAGGCCCTTCCCTCCTCTCCAGCTCGGGTATTCAACCTCCCTCAATAATCAGTCCCAGTACTGCTCTGCAGAACTTTGTATATCGTAGCAGGTATCATTTTGTATTACCATTATTTGCATACATTATATTCTGTAACACTATACTCTATATGCCATTTCCTCTGGCCCTTAGAGGAAATGATGACTCCATGTGGGCTTTTGGGGAATCTGCTTTGACTACTGCACTGGGTGCTCTCTCGGGACAAGGGCTGTGCCTCACTCCTCCTGCTATTCCCAGATCTTAACATGATGCCTGGAGTATGGTAGGCATTTAAGGAATCTTGAGTGAGTGGTTGGTTAGTTGTTTGGTTGACTGGCTGACTGGTTGGTTGTTTGGTTGTTTGGCTGGAAGGATGGATGGATGTATGGGTGGATGAGTGGATGGGTGGTTGGGTAGACAGATGGATGAGTGGACAGGTAGGTGGAAGGATGGATGGCTGGCTGGGTCAGGTGGGTAGATGGATAGGTGTATGGCTGGTTGGGTAGATGGATGGATAGATGGTGGTTAAGTAGGGGGATGGTGAACGAGAAGGTGGATGAATGAATGGTTGGATACATGGAATAGCAACAGATGTGTCCCATAAGTAAACAGAAATAATTCACTTCACTGACAAGGGAGAACCCTCCAAACACAGGCATCATGAGATTCCTTGCCAGCCTGCCCTGCCAAATAAATTTGTCCAAAGGTAACAGGCATGCCACATCCAGGAGACCCATTTTTTATTAACAACTAGGATGGACTTCTGGCTAGAAGAAAACCGTCCACCCTGGTGGCTTATAGATGATTCAGGAAGCTTTAAGAAAAAAAAAAAAAAAAGGCAGCTAAGCTAACTTGCACTGGGGATTCCTAGGAAAACTGTCCTGGATCATGAACTCTAGGACTGTTCCTTCAACACTCATGGAGCCTTCCATGCCCCCTCAGCCCACAGTGCTCACCTCTCTCCAATCCTAAATTCCGAAGAGCTCAGCTACACAGCCAACAGGAGCTAACGAGACAGGATCATGACTCATCCAGGGACCAGAGCTAGGTGTGTCCTGTCCACACATCTGTGCCCCGTGCCTCCAGGCTTCATCTCTCCTGGGCTGTTGCTGGCATCTGGGTTACTTTTCTATGTGTGTTACGCCTTGTCTCACCCGAGGCAGGGCCCAACCCCCTCCTACCCATTGCCCCTGCAGCCCTCGAAGCTCCAGCCTGGCACAGAGGCTGAGCTCCAGAGAGTTTCTAGTTGACAGGCGTCCTTGAGGAAGTGGGGAGGAGGCAAGAATAACCCGGTGAGGTCTGACTGGGTTTCCACCCTGAGGGCGGACCCCCTGTCCTCACAGCTGTAGGGGGGCTCTGCATTGCCAGGGAAGGGGAAGAGAGTTCAGCTCCCACTCCCTCCCCCAGGCTTGTTTTCATGGGATGAACAAACCCTCGTTGTTGACACTGGGTCTAGAAACGAGACACCCTCCCACGCAAAGCAACTCCACGCTCCCAACCGGTCTCAAGACAGGCAAGTGGAGACAAGTTGGAGCGAGTGTTCTTGATGCTCTTTAAGAATCTCTATCCTTCCATTTTTTTACAGAAAACCAGCTTGTCCAGTTTGTGAAAACTTCTTACCTTTGGTCCTACGACACCCAAGTGTCACCCGAGGAAAGGGAGAGCCACAGTGATTGCAGACAAGGTACAGAAGCTTCCCTTCCCCCCACTTTCCTCCTGGGGCGGGGGGACAGTGGTTCAATGGGGAACCTCCAGCCGGCTCCCCAGAACTGAGATTGGGGTTAGGGGATTGGGTGCAACCTGTCAGCCTCCCATGAGCCTTTTCCTAAGCCACACCCGAGTGCCCCCAGCCCGGGCAGCACCCAGCACCCCGGCGCCATCCAGACAGGGCTGTCCCCCCAACACTACACTTGAAAAGGTTTCCTAAATCATTCAGCAAAGCGGAAATGTGGGCAGTTGGCTTTTACAAAGAGCTTAGTAAACTAGAGTCAGTAGCCCCCAAACAACGTCTCTGGTACTCACACTCCAATGAGCTTTCTTGAGTGGGAGGGAGAAACCAGAGGGAATGAGAGCCAGCCATGTGCGTGAGCCTCACAGCCACGGAGCTTCCCCAGGGACACGGCAGACACCTGAATGTCATTGGCCGGCGAGTGTGTGTGTCTAGACATGGGCCCTCTCGGTCGCCGCCGGCAGACTGCCCACTGATGGGGCGCCGCCTCTGGGCCAGGCATGCAGGACACGTTCCCTACAACCCTTATATCCATCTCACAAGGTAGGTAGGTGTGTGGGCCCCATTTTACAGATGAGCAAACTGAGGTCCAAGAAGGCTAAATAAGTGATCCGTCCCGCAACAGGCCCAGCTACATCATTCGTAGGTCCCAGTGCAGAAGGAAAGTACAGGACCCCTTGTTCAAAAGTCATTATGCATTTCAAGACAGTGACAGCAGAGCGTTAAGCCACGTGTGGAGTCCTCTCGGACGCCCAGGATGGGTGCCTGGGAAGCGGGGCTGGAGCGGAGCCCCAGGTTTCTGAGCGTTCCTTCCCTGGAGCGTCCCCCACCGCCCATCTGAGGCCCAGCAGCCGGGTACCTGGAGTAGCAGGAGAGGCCGGTGCTGAGGATGGTGTTCATCACGGCCAAGGGCATGTAGTAGTCATGGAAGGTGGTGCACACCATCACGTCCGGGAGGGAATAGGCCGAGTACGCAATGGCTGAGCCTGAGGAGGAGAAAACCAGCATTGGGCCGGAAGCCAGGCCACAGTGTGGCCTGGACCCTTGGGAAGCCCAACCCCAGCCACTGGATGAGCCTGGCCACCACACCTGGCTTGTGCCTTGCCCTCCCCACCCCCCAACACCTTCCCTCTCTTCTCTGCCTACCCCAACCCTCCCCTCAGAATGAGCCCAGCATCGCCCGAGAGCTTTACTCTGGGTAACTCACATAATCCTGACAATCACCCCCTACCATAAACCTTGCCCTTGTCCTCATTTACAGAGGACAGCGTGACAGCACAGAGAGGGTTAGCAACCCACCTGGGGGGCACGCAGCTAGAAAGTGGCAAAGCCAAGCTTCCACCTGAGGCAGTTCAGGGACAGTCCCCTCTCTGATCCCCAAGCTCTGGTCCATGATGACTCCTCAGGGTGCCCAGCTTTTCTGAGTGTACCTATGACACGGTACACCCCTCATGGAAAGATAGACGTTGCAGGGAGAGAGGGGCCTTGCCAAGGCGAGGAGACATATGGTATCAGTGGGCTGGGGGGCAGGCCAGCTGAGAGGTGAGTGTGAGAGGCTAGCCTTGATGTTTCATTGCTTTAAGTTTGGGAATCTGGGACAGGAAGGTTCCCGAAGGGCCCTCGGGAGACCCGTCTGCTGCTGCTTTCCCTTGAAAGAACAGAGATCACTGTCCTTTTCAAAGGGACCACGTGTGTCCAGGGACCTGGCCCAGAAGGCCTCCCCAGCTACCCTCATCAGGTCTCCTCTGGGAGAGACAGCCACAGGCCTGTCCGCCCAGGGCCTTGTGGGTCCACCCTATGGTCACCTGTTATTCCAAAGACCCAGAGAACACCAGAATCCTAGCTCAGGGCTAACCCGGGGCCTCGGCCGCACCAAGTTCAAGCTCTCCCTCTGACCCCATTTGACAGGTGCTGGCCAAGTGGTGCCAGCCAAGTGGTGCTCCCCGGGTGACACAGGCAGAAAGAGCTTGGAATCAGCAGGCTGCCTGTGGGACTTCCGCTGGGAAGTGCTTCCTGGGGGATAGACTCTTCCCCAGACTAATCTGGAGCAGGAGGGTCTCCTCTGGCCCAGGATGCATTCGCTCTGGGTATGCTGATGGGGGCTGAGGGGCACGCCAAGCTCCGCAGGCGACACAGGAGCAGGGAAGCCTCAGACCCTGCCCCAAATGGCAGTGGGAAGCCAAATGACTTCTAGTAAGAAATAGATATTTGGTCTTTTCCACTGTTCCAGGCACAAAGCGCCTAAAACCCCTGGAACTTCCTAAGCCAGGAGAGAAAGGAAGGGGTCTTTAGTTATGTTAATGAGGTGATTTGGAAAGTATCTGAGGCTTGGGACCTGATTGTCAGGAGAATGAACCCTGTTACCAGAGGGTTGGAACTTCCAGCCCCACACCCCAACCTCTGGGAGGGGAAGGCCAATGGCCAATGACTTCACCAATCCTGAAGAATGAAGTCTCCATAAAAACCCAAGCAGAGGTTCAGAGAGCTTCCTGGTTGGTGACCACGTAGTGATTCAGGGAAGGGGGCGTGCTCAGAGGACACTTTGGAAGCTCAGAGCCCTTCCCCACACCCTGCCCTGCGCATCTCTTCCAGCTGGCTGTTCCTGACTTCTATCCCTTATAATCAGCTGGTAATTGAGTACATAAAATGTTTCTCTGAGCTCTGGGAGCCAGGGTCATGGGGCCTCAGATGTATAGTCAGTCTGTAACAACCTGGGCTTGTGTCTGGCATCCGCGGGGATGCGGGGCAGTCTTGGGGGACCGAGATCTTCACCTGTGGGAACAGATGCAGTCCCCAGGAGGACGGTGTCAGAAATGAGCAGAATTGTAGGACACCCAGCTGCTGTCAGAGAAATACTTAGGGTGGCATGGGGACCCGCCCCACACACCCCCACACACACATTGTTCTCATGCTCAGATCCCTTTAGGGGGCATTCTGGGGAGCAGGAAGAGAGGCAGCTTTGGATTCCAGACTAAGGAAAGTAAACATCCTCTTGAGGCCATATGGAGTCATGGGAGGTTTCTGAGTGAGGGATTAAGACAGCCAAACCTAGTGAAAATGCATAGGAGGGCCTAGAGGAAGGAATAGCTGGAAAGCAGGGAAGAGGGAGCAAACGCCACCCCTAGAGGACTGCAGGTTTCCACAGGATAGAATCGAGAACAGGAAGGAGAGGTGGCCGTGGACAAAGGAGCAAGGAGTCTGAGGTGGAAGCCAGAGGTCCCGGTTTGGGGGCTTGGAGGAAGCCACGGGTGGGGGCCCATCCTTGAAGGACAGAAAGGGGAAGTTCCCGGGTGAAGGCCTATGGGAGGGCACCAGACCCTGAGGAAGTAACAAATCCAGAAAGCCAGTGACAGGAAGGGAAACGGTTCAGGGTGGCGGCTGCCCCCCAGGACTTTGGTTCAAACCCGAGCTCTGCCATTTACATGCCACATGACCTGGTCACTTTCCTTCATGGTGCCTCATTCTCGCCTGTAATGCAGCTATCATAAGAGCTGCCATCCTGGGGACTGACGTCAAGGTCAAGGACGCAGTGGTGGTAATGGCTCCTCTCAGAGGCTTAGAGCCAGGCACTGTGCTGCGCACCTCACCTGCAACACTCAGCTCATCTTCGTGCCTGAAGAGGATACGATGCTGAGTTTGTGGATGAGAGGACCGGGGCTTAGCGAGGTTAAGAAACTCACCCAAGACTGATGGGCTGGAGGCAGCTGGGCCACAAACAGGCATTGCAGGATGCCGCCCACCACCCCCCTCCGCCAATCCCGTGATGTGTCGCGGGTGTGGTCTAGTGGGGACTCCCAAATGCCTGCTCTTAGCACGAGTCTGGGCAGGTGGTCAAGGGCTCTGGAAGCCTCTGGACTAAGGAGTCTAAACTTCATCCGGGGTAACTGGGAATCCTGAAAGGTCTTGAGTGGGAGGGGAGCCATAGTCAGTAGGTGTTAGAGAAGCCTGGTGGGGGTGAGTGGGCAGGAGTGGGGGAGGAGCAGGAGATGGAGAGGAGGCTGTGGTCAGGGTGCACTAACTAATGGACAAGATGGCAGGGGAGTGGGAGGGAGGGGAACCCAAGGGCCATTTGCAGATTCTGACTTGGGAGACCAGGTAGGGGTGGAACCAGGAGCCAGGTGAGGCACTGAGGGAGTGGGAGTGGATGTGTGTGGTGGGGGTGGTGAGGGGGGATTTGGACAGTCTCGGTTACAGGGCTGCACACCACACGGACCCTGGGTTAGTGGTAGACTAGGACAGTTTGGGAGAGCCTGGTCCAGAGGTGTTAGGGGACGGTGTGCAGTCACCCTGATGCCGGCCCGAATGAGAGCAGAGGCCCGAGGCCGGATTCTGAGCTTGTCCACTGCCAGGGGAGCAGAGCAGGGAGCCAGCAGAAGAGAAAAAGAGAACATGTCCACTAGGCAGGAGGAGAAGCAGGAGTGATGTGACTGTGACCAGAGAGAGGGAGGTGGTTCAGGGAGCACGGAGGGTTGGGAGGTGACATGGTAAGCCTGTGTGTGTTTGTGTCTGTGCATGCACGTGTGTGCATGTCTGCGTGTGCATGTATGTATATGTATGCACGTGTTTGTGTGTGCATGTGTGTATGTGTATGCATGTGTGTGTGTGTGTGTGTGTGTGTGTGAGTTGTGTGAAGGGAGGGAGGAGAGGAAACAGGATGGAGACGTGATCCTCACGGACACCCTCTTGGACAAGGGAAGACAAGGCCTTTGCTTTCATACCTGGAACAGGAGCAGAAGCAGGAGGGATAAGAGGTCAGAGCAGGGATACTTGGGGACAGATGGATGCCTGCCAGCTGGGGAGAGAAGGGGAGCCAGAAGGAAGGGGCCCCATAGCTGGCAGAAAAACACGAGGAGGCTCAGGAGTCAACACCCAACCTCGTCTGCTTTGGGTTCACCCCTCGGTTCCCGTGGCACTTTGAGCACATGGCAAACTCATCAAAGCCCCTCGACAAGCAGGGTTCGTGACCCCCTCTTCTCTGCCAGGCTGGTGAGAGACCCGCCCTGACGCACGAGCTGCTCCCCCTGGCCTGTGACGGCAAACAGTTAAGGTTTTGGAGATCCCACAAAGTGACTGTTAAACCCCGCCAACTACATAAACTTATAATATAATAATATAATATAATATATAATAATATAATATAATAATATAATATAATATAATACAATATAATAATAAACTACATAAACAGTGACAAAAGTAGTAACTTTCCATTAATGCATTTCCTCTATCTGTGGAGAGGAATTACTCCATGATGATGTGCAGGGATGTCCCACTGGTGGCCAGAAGTTGGGCACAAGTCAGCCTACCCTAAGGTTGGGGCTTTTGTCCTCACTGAATCGGTTAACATTTGCCAGCACAGCTCTGGACAAGTTTCCTACAAAACACTCATCAGGAACCTGGAGGAGGCACAGGCATTCCCATGACTCTTCCACAAGCCCGTCAAGGCCTTCTGGTGGGCTCCACTCCCAGGGGGTGGGGCAGGGAGCCCAGTTGCCAGGAGAGGACGACAGAGCAGGGCCCCACATACCCAGGCTGAAGAGGTTGACGGCCCCGTAGTCCAGGAAGTAACAGATGTGCCGGGCGTTCTTGGACATGGAGCTGAAGGTGTGTGCACAACTGGACACAAGGGGGTACACGCAGCTGGTGCCCATGTACACAAACAGAGGCCAGGAGTAGCTGTCATTCTGGATGTCTGTTATATACAAGGCGGTCACAAACCTCCACACGAAGAACCTGGAACACAGCATGGCCCACTCGACCCCCATGGCTGGGGGCTCCTCCGTACTCCTCACAGACTATCTGCTGCCCCCATTCCTCTGGGATAACTGAACCCTATGTGTTCTCACTTTGGTGCAATACTACAAGTGAGGGAGGGTGAATGGGCAGAAGGGGCAAGAGGAAAGCCTTTAGGTTCATCTAGTACAATCCTCTCCCCACCTTGCAATGACTCTTACATGTCTCTTACAGCATCCTACCTAAGTGATCCTCCAGGCTCAGCTTGCATGCTTCCAGGGATGGGGAGCTCACCACCTTTCAAGGTAGCTCTGAGTGTCAGAAAGTTCTTCACTGAGCTGACACCTCTCTCCCTGGGATCTGTCTCCATTTGATCAGCCCTAGTTCCCCTCAACAGGACCACAGAAAACTTGCCCATCAAATATCTAAGGCAATCTTCATAACCCTACCTCACCTCTTTGAACCTTACATAAAAGAACCCTGTGGCACTCAATCACTCCTCAGAAGATCCACATGGGTCCTGTCACCAGACCTGTCGTTTGTCTTTGTCCCCTTAGAGGAAGGTTCCTCAAACAGAAGCAACCTCCCTGGGGGGTCCTTGAGAGTCTGGAAGACAAAAGGACGATTTTCTCCCTCCTCTCCAGGCTATTCCTGCATGAACAGTGCCACTGCCTTTCTGAGTCACCTGGCCCCACTCGGGGACCTTCCGAGTCTGGGTCTCTGGGTCCATCCCCACACAGAGACACAGGACAGCCCTGCCACCTATTTGCCTCCCCTATGACCCAGGCAAGGGGGCCTGCCTACAGAGCTGCCCACTTCCCCAGACCCACCACTGCTAGAAAGCCAGCACCTCTACCCATGGGCTCTCCTAGGAAAGGAGCCTCCAAAGCTTTCCCCACAGGAACCCAAGGAGCATCACTCCATCTTCTGGCGACATTTGCGATCTTTCTCCTCTGTCCCAGCAAAAACAGAACTGAAGCTACATGCTGGTCCCAAAACCTCTCCAATCATCTCAAGATGACTCCCTGGACCTACTTTCTTTGGGGCTCTCCCAAACCGTCCCCACCCTGTGTTGCTCAGTGGTGACCACCTCCCAGAGCCTGGCAGTGTTGGGGGGCTGTATGCAGCAGGGAGCCTCGGCCAGAGCAGCCCAGCTTCGGGACAGCTACAAAATCACCCAGCCCCTCAGGGATCTGTGCACAGGTGCCCAAGGCCCAGAGACAAGCAGGGAAGGGCCAGCGCTCCCAGCAGCGGGCCAAACTGTGGAACCCCATACATCACCGTGGTTCATCCACACAACGGAACACCATGCAGCCTGGGAGGCGGGGGTGCCAGATGGAGGTGGGAGGGAAGAAAGCCGGGGAAGGGCAGCAGGAGGCAAGGACTCAGGGTGGGCTGTGCACACCCCTCACACCTCCAGAGGGGCTCTGGGAGGACCAGCAACTCCAAGGAGGAGAACAGAGGCCCAGGGAAGACAATGACTCTGTCCCCATCTGCAAGTGCCCCTTTAGGACCATTTAGACTTTTTACTTACATTAACTTAAGTTTGCTTAAATTTAAAAGGACACACACACACACACACACACACACACACACACACACACAAATAGAATAAAATGACAAACAGGCTCCTTGAGCAGGATCTGGAGGCCACCCTGGGATGACAGCGGGCCCTAAGGCTTCCCTCCAGATTGCCCTAGTCCACCCCAAGCCTAGACCCCTACTGGCTGACACAGGTGTGGCCCCGGGAACAGGGTGGCTTGACCTGCATTTTGGTCGTGGATCTGCCTTCTGACTACTGAGCAAGCACGGCCTTCTGGAGCCTGTCTCTGTGTGCGGCAAACCCTGGGGTTCCTCCTATTCTCTTGGCTTCTGGACAAAGATCCAAGGGGAGTCCAGAGTCTGGCCTGTGCCAGAACTTGCCATGTGATGGAAGTAAGCCACCCTGTTCCCTGGACCCCCGTGTGTCAGCCAGCAGGAGTCTTAGTGGACTCCTGAGCTAGTGGTTGCTCTATTAAAGGGTTGCCGACCAAGTGCCTCCTGGCTGCTGTGGCCCCAGAGCAATCACAGGGCCCCCACAGCTCCCTGCCCCATGCTTTTGCCTAGTCCTCCCCACCCCCTTCCCCCACAGCCCCTCTGTAATCCTAACAGCAACCCTGGGCTGGGCTCTGATGATCACTCTCACTTTACAGTCGGGAAAACATGGAGCTCAGAGAGGTTAAGTGACTTACTCGAGCTCGTGACATTTTACCCAGGGCTTCTGGAAGACTCCAAAAACCTCCAGACTGAAGAGGAAAAGATCAAACCAGACCCCAGTGCAGGGAAAGACTGGGGAGCTGCCAGGAATCCATATGCTAAAGCTCACCCCAGCCACTGGGCCCCAACATCTCCCAGCTCCAGCCTCATGCCCCAAGGGGGAGTCCCCAAAATCCCAGCACGGACTCTCAGCCTTCCCAACCCTCCTGGGTTTTGAAGAAGCCCCAGTCCACAGGGCTCCTGAATGACATGGCCAGTCCAGGGGGATGGAAGATACCAGAAGGGCAGCAAGTGCGTCCAGATGTTGAGGGTCTCATTGGTCATTTGGAAAAGACTGAGGACACAGGCAGTGGCGGAGCTCTGTGGGTGTCGGTAGCCGAAGAGGATACCCTGCTCATGGAACACCTGTTGGGGTAAGAGAAAGGAGCACCGAGGTGAGGACGGAGGGTGGCGAGAGGGTCTCGGGAGGGACAGCTCTGGCAATATCTCGTTTTCCCCCAGGCTGTGCACTTGAACTCTTGAGCCTGGAACACGTGACCCCAAGTCCTTGAGCTGTCAAGCTGCTTTCCTCCTCCCCTTCCCTCCTCCCTTCCATAGTTTCTAAAATCCCATGTCCTTCCTGAGGCCCGTAGTGGCCAGAGGAGGGACTTCAAGACCCCGGCTCCCTTTGGGAATCTGGTCAGTCTCCGCATTCCCAGACAGACCCACTCACTCTTGTCATGAATGTTGCCTAAGGATCTGGTTTTGTATCCTCTGCCTGGGGCCTACAGGCCAGACTCTGGATGCCTTTGCGGCTGGAAGACATATACGCTGTCTGTCCGAGCCAACATGCCCCAGATGTCAGGAGCTGGTGGCAAGATTTCTGCAGAAGATCTCCCGCGGTGCCAGGATATATTCACCAAAGCGCTTCATAAAGGCCTTTTGATGATGAAGACAGTGAGGGCATGGGCCCGGGATGCAGGTGGACCACGACCTGCCCAAGCCAGCCCCTCCCCACGTGGCCAGCCCACCCAGCGCACCTCTGGGTCACCACCCCCGAGAAGACAGGTGGACTGGTCAGCCGACTTATGGGCATCAACCCCCCAACCTGCAGGGGACTCCAGCAGATCCTTTGAAGATGTAATTGTGAAAAGGAGGCAAGAGCGCCAAAGCCCAGCATGGGCTATTAAGTGAAAACAAGTAGAATGTAAATCGTATTGCTGTGGCGATTGTAAGGATTATAGAAGTTTAAGGATGCGAGGTGGGGCAGAGGCTTGGGAAGAACAAGGGGGAGAGTCTATGTGTTGAGGATGTGCAGTAGACTTTCTCTCCCTTGTGTGTTGATTCGAGCCAGAGTTTCTCAATCTTGATGCTATGGACATTTCTGGGCAGATGACTGCTGACGGGGGGGCTGTCCTAGGCAGGGGGTGAGCGCACCCATGGCCTCTCCCTACTGACACCAGGGGCACACACCCTCCCAGGCTGTGATGACCCAAAACGTCTCCAGAGAGTGCCAACATCCCCTGGGGCCCAAGGGACCTCAGTTAAGAACCACTGATGTAGATGGACATTGTCATAAGCTTTGAAAGGTAAACTAAAAATAAGTAGATTCATCGAGGCAAGTAATGACAATGGTAATACTAGTAGTCATAATCTAAATCGAGTCACAAGTACATTTTACAATTTTCCCTGTGGTTTTCTGGGGCTGAGGGAGAAAGGGGAGATGGAGAATGGCAATCTCACCACCCTTCTCTCTTCTGGGTTACAACTTTGTAGCTTAAGAGAGAATCTCCATTCAAAAGTACATAATGGGGGGCGCCTGTGTGGCACAGTGGGTTAAGCAACTGACTCTTGTTTTTGGCTCAGGTCATGATCTCAGGGTCATGAGATCAAGCCCCATGTTGGGTGCTGTGCAGGGGGCGGGGGTGGAGCCTGCTTGAGATTCTCTCTCTGTCCCTCCCCCTCCTCTGTCAAATAAATAAATAAATCTTAAAAAAAAAAAAAAAGAAAAAGAAAACAGGGGCACCTGGGTGGCTCAGTGGGTTAAGCCTCTGTCTTCGGTTCAGGCCATGATCTCAGGGTCCTGGGATCAAGCCCTGCATCAGGCTCTCTGCTCAGTGGGGAGCCTGCTTCCTTCTCTCTCTCTCTGCCTGCCTCTCTGCCTACTTGTGATCTCTGTGTTAAATAAATAAATAAAATCTTTATTAAAAAAAAAAAGAACACAATAAGTAACATGTACTATGTCTTGAGATTCTGAGTCAAGTGGAGAATGAAGAGTTACAAGGGTTAAGAGTCAAATCTGGGCCACTGAAGTGCCATGTGACCTTGAGCCGGCCATGACTCTCATGGCCTCAGTGTCCTCACCTATAAAACTGAATATGTGCTCTCTTTCTCTGACAAATTAGTAAAATTTTTTCAAATCTTAAAAAAAAAAAAAAAAAAAGGGACACATGGGTGGCTCAGTTGGTTAAGCATCTGCTTTTGGCTCTTTTGGCTCAGGTCATGATCCCAGGGTAATAGGATCAAGGCCTGCTTCTGGCTCCTTGCTCAGTGGGGAGTCTGCTCCTCCCTCTGCCTGCTGCTCCCCCTGCTTGTGTGCATATACGCGTGCAGTCTCTCTCTAATACTAAAATAAAATAAAATAAAGTAAAATAAAACAAAATAAAAATCTTTTTAAAAAACTGTGATTATGTTCCCTTAGCTCAGTTCTGGGTTCAACTGGTCAACTGGGGGAGGGGGACTCATGAAGCTGGTTCATGGTCCAGTGAAAAAATACTGTTTGAATTAGGTTTGGGTCTTAACTGATTAAAGCAATTTGTTCCAGTTTTTGATTCACCACTCAACCCTGCTGACGTCCCTGGTTTACAGTGGACAGCCTTCTGTCCTGGGCAGCAGGAATCCTGGCTTACAGCTTCCTACCCCACCAGGGCCACTGACAGGGAGGCAGACAGGCTCATGGTCTTCAGCCTGCGATCCATGGGAGAAGGGTAGTGCATGCTTGGTGGGCATGCAAAGGCCCTGTGGCAGAAATTGGGGGTCTATTATCCCATCTCACATTTCAATCTTCCCTTTATAAAGAAAAAAAATTTATTAAGGAATTGGCCTCTTACTAAGATGCAAAGACTCCAGAATGGAACCACTGTTACTGATGATTCACTCCTTCACATGAATGAGTTTAGCAGATCCTGTGTAGGAGGACAGCTCATGACCGGGGGCCTGCAGAGAGCTGGGTACGGGGCGGGGGGTGGTAGCACATAGGGAAGCAGGGCTGTAAGACAGTGGGGACATGGGGCCCATAGATGGGAAGTGGATGGATGGGAACAAGAAGGGGAGATCACTTACATTTTGCCTGTGGTGATGCAGGGTGCGACTACTCTTTGAATCCTGTATTTGGGGAAGCAAGACAAGGCAACGACACAGTCAAGAGCCAGAGGGGAACAGAAGGGCTGGGAAATTCACAAGCTGGACAACTTGACCATACTTAAGAATGTTGCCCCATGGGTGCCTGGGTAGCTCAGTGGGTTGGGCCTCTGCCTTCGGCTCAGATCATAGTGTCAGGGTCCTGGGATCAAGCCCCGCATCAGGCTCTCTGCTCGGCGGAGAGCCTGCTTCCCTCCCTCTCTCTGCCTGCCTCTCTGCCTAATTGTGATCTTTCTCTCTCTCTCTCTCTCTCTGTCAAATAAATAAATAAATAAATCTATCTTTAAAAAGAAGAAGAAAAAGAAAAGAATGTTGCCCCAGACCTGGGGATGCTACTTGACCACCAATGCCAGGACTGGGCCTATATTAAAAGACTCTCCTCTGACCTGCTATCCTGAACCCAGGCACATATGGGAAGCTCACTAACCAGCCATAGAGGCAGGATTTAAAGCAATCCCTCCAAAAAAAAAAAAAAAAAAGAAAAGAAAAAGGACAAGTACATAAAGAATGGACAAAAAAAGAGAAGGGGAGTCCTTCAGTCCCAGAAGAGCGATGTTCTGTACTGCCCCTTCCCTCCTCAACTTGAACCTCAGTTTACTAGGCCAAAATGCTAGATGCACTCTTGCTCTGAGCCCCTCTGAGCAGAGGAAAGGAGCGGCATTCTCTCCACTTCCCGTTCTGGCCCTGCCAAAGAGCTTTGTGTAGAGTAGATCTTAAAAGAAGACATACTACATAAATCTCAACAACAAATGAAACGTTTGAAAACAATTTTGTATTCACACCCAGTCCTCACCCCAAAAGGCAAATTGCAATCATTGCCTTTAGTACTCTGTAGCTGGGTCTCATTCCTAAGCACCCCCAGGTTAGCAGGTACTGGCTAATTTGCACAGTGGAATTGATTTGTAGGAATCCACCTCGCATCCCTGGTTCCAGGCTAGGCAGTTTAACGTGAAATGAAATCAAATCGTGTGCAGCTTATTATTTAGAAGGGAGAACCCCCGGGTACCTGGAGTGGAAGGCCACAGCAGCGGGTTTTCCTTTTAGTGCCTGCCAAGGCTTGGCTTCCGGGAAAGACTCTGTGTACCTGCCAGTTGACACCTGAAATTCCACTGAGACCATTTCAAACCCTCAGTTTTTCTAGCTATTAAACTGCAAATCACCTGGGGAAAATCATCTAGTGTTCTGGCTCGTGGGAAACAGGAGCAGATTCTGACAGCAGGCAGAGGGGTGAGGCAGAGTGGGGGGTTAGATGCTCTCAGTGAGGCAATCTGCACTTCCCGTCCAAATCTCGAGGAGTCCTCAGGACCTTGTGAGAGACAGCCTTTCACTGTCCCCATTCCACAGAAAAGGAAACTGAGGCCCAGGGAGGTTAAGACATTTTCCAAGCTCCTAGAAGTGGGGGAGCAAATCTGAAAGTGGCATTCACACCTAAGACTTCATTTCTCGGCCTCTTACATTACATGCGGCCTCTCAGAAGGGCTCTGGAGGACAGGAAGCTCTCATCTCTCGGCCTGTGGTGTGATTTTCAACTGTCAGGTGCTTCTCTGAGCCTTGGTTTCTTCTTCAAAGTGTTCCTCACTTTGTGTCCCTCACAAAATTCGTAGGTTGAGGCCCTCAACCCCTCCCCCGGACCTTGGCATGTGACTGTCATCGGAGGCAGGATCCTTAAAGAGGGGATGAAATTAAAATGAGGCTGTCAGGGTGGGTCCCAGTCTGATCTGACTGGCGTCCCTCAGAAGCAGGGGCAACACCAGGGGTGGGTAAGCACAGACTGTGTGACCGGGCAGCAGGGAGGCGACATCTGCAAGCCAAGGAGAGAGGCCTCCAGAGAACCAACCTTTGCCGGCACCTTGATCTTGGACTTCCAGTTTCTGGAGCTGTGAGAGGTGAAGTTCTGTTTGTCTAGTCAGTCTGTGGCCCTCTGTGATGGCAGCCTGAGCTGGCTAAGACAAGCAGGGAGGTGGGGTGACACTGTCTCTAAGTTGGTGTCTTGAAAACGTTCTTCC